TCATGGGTGGGTCGTGTTGTGGGAGGATCGACATCGGTGCCTTCCACGTAGAGAGCCCATTTTTACTGACTTCTTGATGTATGCTGAGGATTATTATGAGTGGTTCAACAGTAATGGGAAACTGTTTCTACTTCCCGAGGATGCACGAGGACAGACATTTCCACGACGTCGACAGAGACATTCACCGACACAGCACCATCGTCCCTCGACTCGTGGACGGAGAGCAGGTGCTTCCGGTTCATCCTCAGCTGCACAAGCAGGACCTTCCCAGCAGCCACCGCAGCCATATATGATGCCGCCATCGCCTTTCCATTACCATATGATGCCGCCGCTGCCTTCACCTGGTTTTATGACCCCGCTACCACCACCGTCACAGATGACCCCTCCTGGAGGCTATTATGGGTCTATGTTTGCAGATCTGACATAGGGTTTATATGTTGGATATTTGGCAGGTTCAGCCTCATCACTCATAGCCGCAGCACAGACACCGCCTCCTGTACAGTTTTCACACTCAGCGATGTCTGGGTTTTATGAGTTTTCACAGTTTTCGCAGGCCGGTGGGATAGTCAATCATACACCTCCAGGGTCCTTATTCTACGGAGGTGCTTCATCGTCATCAGCTCCTCATCAACCTAATGTACCTGCGTAAGACGACGACGACGACGATGGTGATGATGATGACAGCGATGAGTCAGAACCAGTGATACGAAGAAATCCTCCTCGAGACCGACAGCCACCGCCCTACAGAACACATTCGCGTCACAGGCATCGATAGATTTTGTTTTTTATTATATTTGTATTTACTCTATTTTATTAAATTGTAATTTTATTATTATTTCTCATTTAATACTTACTTTATTTTGTTAAATTTATTGGACTTTTTTAATGTATTTCAGTTCGTTTTGTTTATTACCATTTAATATCAATTATTGTAATTTGGTTATCATTTACCATTTAATACTTATTGTTATTAGTTCGTTAAAATTTAATGATTGTGTTTGTTTTTTTAATCTTCATCGGTGATTATCAAATGACATTAACTTGAAGTAAATGTAAATTAAAGTACAAGAAATTATTTGATAATAAAATACATCATTTCCTCATCAATTGTTACTTGATGACAACAGAAGTGGACATGTTTTTCTAGTGTGTCCTGGGTTTCTACAATGCCCACATCTTCTGTCTTGTCTAGATCTTTCTATAATATCCATATCACAATGAATTCGATTAGATTTTGGACGACCACGCCCCCTCAATAAACTCGGATTTGGTACAATCGGAAGCCAATCTTGAACCTCATCAGGGTCTTTGTCATTACCTATGGGGGAAACTCAAATTTGTATACCTTAAAAACTTCATATAGTAGGTATACGAGATCCACAAAATGGTTATAGTCTTGACGTGTATGCGAGCAAGTTGCTATCACATGAGAGCATGGATACTTCAGAGCTTGAAAAAACTCGCAGTCGCACATTATGTCCCTTAGATTTACTCTTAACGACACAGCTTCAATCCCTTGAAGAGGTCGCGGAAACTCTGTGACACGAAACATTTCATGCCTTCTAGAGAAGCTTGTTACAGACATTCCATTTGATGCAGCAATTTTTTTCTGTAGATCTGCAACTAATCTAGGGTGATAGACATGACCGCCTTGCATCCAGGTTTGAGCTTGTCCCCCGAGCTTCGCAAAAAGCGCCCTCAAACAAAAATATATAGTCTTTACCAAAGCCGCTACTGGTAAGTGACGTGCACCCTTTAAGGTTGAATTGATTGCCTCTGCCAAGTTGGTCGTCATGTGTCCATATCGATATCCACCATCATATGCGTTCGTCCATATTTCTTTATCAATGAGACTGATGTAATCATATCCTTCCTCGTTCTTCGCCTGTAACTCTTGAAACATTGATTCAAACGTTCGAGGAAGTAGTTCGTAACCTGATCAAAAAAATGTATAACTTACTAACTTGCTGTCTTTGCAAAATTAAAACGATCGAAAGAAAATAAACTTGCTAAGTTTCACTTACCCATGCGCACAATTAATTGACGCTCATCATTCTTATTGTACCTTCCATGGTAGTTCGCGGCAATGTGTCGAAGACAATACCTATGTTGTACAAAGGGTGGTTGCCACATTGGACCCAAAGACTCCATTGCTGCTTTGATCCCAGCTCCGCGATCTAAAATGACACATATGTTTTCCCTCGTGATAACATGTGCCCGTAAATTTCGGAGGAAAAAAGCCCAAGAAGTTGTATCTTCTCCTTCGACAAGAGCAAAAGCAACTGGAAGAATATTGCGATTATCATCTTGGACAACTGCCAATAATAAAACTTGCTTGTATTTTCCATACAAGAAAGTCCCGTCGATCTGGACCACAGGCTTGCAGTATTTGACAGCATTAACGCACTGTGGGTAACTCCAAAAAACCCGGTAGAATTGGCATCGATCGCGAAGAACTTGATCATTATGGTATGCATAGGAGGTTTCGAAGTCCACAATTGTCCCAGGATTCAACGTCTGTACCAGCCTAAACTAACCTGGAAGTTCGTTGTAAGATGCATCACATTCACCATGAAGTTTGACAATGGCATTTTGTTTTGCCAACCAAGCTTTTTTATAGGAGACAGTGTACCCATACTGCAATTGTATAGCTGAAATCAACACTGCAACAGCTATATGAGAGCTTGCTTTGACCATGGGTATGATGGCTTGGCATATCACTTCAAAGTCCAAGTTGGGACGATCTTGGTTGACCCCTCCAGCACAATATGTGTGAGGACCGTTGTATATTGTTAGTTCACATCTGTTGTTTTTCCTCTTCCTCTTCGATACGCGAACCATCCAATTGCATCTGTTTTCACGCTGGGCACAGTAGCATACATATTTTTCGGTCGTGGAGCGGTCTACTCTGGACTGAACAGAATTACGGATATTGTAATTTTTGATAGCCATAATCGCTTCTTCTTTGCTTGAAAACTCCATGCCTAAAGATAACTCACCATTATTTATTGATGAGTAATACCCATAGTCACTGAGATGAGGCATATCTGCAAATTCTGGCCCGTACATTGCACCATAATCAGCTTCATACATGTGTTCAGGAGGGTCAGTTTGTGCCACATTTCCTGGAACTTCATCATCATCGGAGTTGAATTGTGGTGATTCTGGATGAATAAATAGTCCAGTCTCAGCACCATCCGCACCAGGCTCACGAAGCGGTTCTTCTGGTGGAGATGATGATTCCTCCATGCTCTCCACATTTAGGTCGTAGAACCTACTACTTGCACGCCTTCCCCTTGAAATAGAAGGCATATCGACATTGAGATCAAAAAAGCTCGCAGTCGAATGCCTCCCCCTAGAGCTTGAAGTCATCGCGTCAAATGGAAACTACACATATGGTTGCGTCGATGGCATCTCCATATTAAGGTCAAAGGGATTTGCAGATGAATGCTTTCCCCTTGAACTAGATGCGATGTTGTCATACGGATTGTTCATCGACCTACCTCGGTACATATCGTAAGGAGTTGCGGATGAATGTCTCCCCATTATGGCATTAAAATCATTACACATTACTGTCGTTGGGCTGTCAACTTGATCAACTTGTTCAGTCAGCCCATAGTGGGAGCTTAATGATTGACACCGAACAACACGCACTTGAACAAAATGTGCATACATCTCAATAGCGGCGTCTGAATAATTACTTTGAGCTTCAACCATCATTTCAACATCATCATTGTTCGAAAGTTCGAACGCTGTATAAGTTAATGGCAACAATGATGTTGGAAATCTATATTGCAACGACGCCACTCTTCTACTACTTCCAACATGAATCTTCCTCGAAATCTTCGTTATCAGCTCCTCAAGAGTTATGTTTCTCTTGAATGATATTTTAACACGCTCATTTGATACGAAAGCAACGCCGGTTTCATCTTCTCGAATTTTACCATCATAATAAACAATAGCTGAAAGTCGCGCCATTATTTGAGTTTAAAAGTGCGGCACTATTATATCTGCAAAAAAAATAAATGAAACAAACCTGATTTAATAAATTATATATGAACGAACATATAACACAATAAAATTTTTACACATCAACGTAAATAAATTAAATAATATAATTTAATATTATTACCTGCACCGCAAAACTATTTCGACGTATGCTCCCGCTTTCCAATTTTGCATACACAAAAATTAATTGAAAATAATTAGTATAATATTTTTTCAAATAATCATAATAAACAATAAATATAATAAAAAATTATAACAAAAATACCTTATAACGAAAAATCGCACGAACTTCTAAATAAAATATGAGAAGATTGCCAGAATTATTGACTCGTTGACGGAATTGTTGTATTAATTTATAAGTTGAGAGGAGAGATGTGAGAAACTTAACCGGCGGAGAATGGTATTTATAGCGAGGAAAGTATACAAAACGCGGTACCTGCCCCGCGCTATATAAAATTATGTCAGGAGTAAAGGTATCTCGCAGTACCTGCCCCGCGCTATATAAAATTAAAGGTATGTCGCGGTACATGCCCCGCGCTATACCCCTATATGGCGTATAGCGTGCTGCAGGGGCCGCGCTATACCCACGTGTATGCCAGATCACCGTATAGTGCGGTTCACGGGGCACGCTATACCCCACGTGGCGTCAAATCATCGTATAGCGCGGTGCAGGGGGCGCGCTTTACTGCTAAGGGTGTTAGATCGGGAAATATAATATGACCGGTGTTAGATCGGGAAATATATTATTCACCAGTGATATATCGGGAAAATCGCCAATATATGTTCAAAGAATACTCTCAACCATTTGCATTGAACACTCGTACCTCTAGCATTCCTGGTGCTTAAACCCGAGTCTTCAAACAATAATAACAATTTATTTACCACTGAAGTCACTGGAATTCGTGCATTTTACAACCAATTTTAAAATCTTTCATTTACAACCAATTAGATAATGTCACGTTTTATAGTATGATTGGTTGTGGTTATCAATGTGAACATGTTTAGTCAACAAGATACGTTGACTGTAATTTTCTTCCACGTAAAAGTTATTTTGACCTAAAATGAAACTTTGAGTTTAAATTATTTTTAAAAATATAAGGATTACAAGTGTTACTAAATTAAATGTTAGGGGAATTTTTTAATATGATCTCGAATTTAAAATCTAAAATTTAATATTTAAAAAAATAAAAAAAATATTTTGAAATAATTTAAGGGTAAATTGCACATTTAGACCTAAACTATCAATTTTGTTATATTTTAGTACCTAAACTTTTAATTTTTTAAAAGCATACCTAAAGTTTAATTTTTGTTTTATTTTAGTACACTGTCGTTAAGTTTTAAAAGAAATGAAAGTTTAGGTTCAAAAACACATTTAGTACCTAAATCATACTTAAGTTTTGTTAAAAATTTAGGTACTAAAACGGATCAAAATTAATAGTTTAAGTACTAAATGCGTTAAGTTTTTAAAGAGGAGTATTAAAATGAAACAAAAAGTAAACTCTATATATGGTTTTAAAAAAAATTAAAAGTTAAATACTTAAACAGACTAAAATGGATAATTTATGTAATAAAATATAACAAAACTGATAATTTACTTACTACATACGTAGTTTACGCATAATTTAATGATGATATTTTTAAAACTTTACCCTTGATGAAATAGAGCTTTCAGAATCTGGCCCAAATACTAGTCTGATCCATGACCTTCACAGGCTCAAAATATAAAATAAAGATCGAGAGGGGAGGGGGGAAAGCATAAATATTTTTAGAAAATAGGAAACCACTTTCTACGTTAAAGCGAGTTAAAAAAGAAGAAAAAATGGGGAGAGAAGTATCAGAAAGCTGCATTGATAGCCTACTAATCGAAATGGTTTCCACATATTGCAACCGCTTTTATGCCAATAAGCCTGAGCTCGCTGCTCGTCGCATCGAAGCCATCGGATATCAGGTCGGCCACCAGCTCTCTGAACGGTGGACCCTTCTACATCTGATCAAATATCCAAATTGCTTACACTTTTAGTTGTTTGCTAGATTTATGAAGCTGAAAATTCCATTTGAATTATTTTTTGTTAAATTTGTTGTCCATAGCGTGAATTTTAGTTTAAGTAACTATGTTTTAATGTCTCAATTTTGGATCTGAGGTCGTGAAAAAAAAACCCATTGATTGAATTAATTTGAGTGGAATTTCTAAAGCCCAATACCGTTATAGATATTATGATGCTGGGAAATGAAGGGTATTGGTCTTCTTTGGTATAATATTGGTGATTGGAATAAGTTTATCTCATCAGCCATTGGTGGTTCACCCTTCTGGTTTGGGTAGAGAGTCGCTATCGGTGAGATAATGGCTACCGGTGTTTATATGTGAGAGAGATGAAGACATAATGAAGAATATGTGCTTGTAAGAGGAAATAGAGGAGGGCCCTTTCGGTTATAAACCATAATATCATTATGGTTATTTGTAGGTTCACGGGCTAAATAGATCTAGTAGCTAGATCTTGAATTTCATTATGGTAGATCACATTTCCATATTATAGGTCTTGTCTATTGTAGATAGCTCGGTGGTTATGTTACTCCTGTGTCCGGAGGATATGGGTCCTTCAGGTGCTCTTGTAAGCAGAAGGGCTCTTCTGGAGGTTTTGGTTAGCAGAGAGCTAGGATTCTTCGAAGGTGACCACCTAGAGTATAACAAATATAATAAAACTTTTATGATTGAGTAGTGCTCTATGCGTGTGAGGATTTGAAGTTTTGATTGTCGATCTGATGCTCTGATTTGGCTTTTATAGTTATCGATAGTGCTTGGAACCGTTGCTATGTTTATCTTAGTAATTTAGTTTCACCTTGATTATTATGTAATGCAAGGTAAATACTATGGCAAAAAGAAACTGAAATGATTTGATTTGTAATATTGATGAATCTTTTTAACATGCATGCATTTGCTTCTACTAGACTTAAAAGACATTAGCATGTAAGGGACCAAGAATTAGGGTATTGGTTAATGTTCTGTTCTGGATTTATTTTTCAACTTTTTATCTAATTTGCTTTTTATGTTCGTCACTATTCATTGCTCCTGACATTGACATTTGATATAGAATGAGGCCTTTAAGAATTGTGATAGTTTTAGAACTTAATATATTTGGTGAACTGCATTTTGATTTCTTAGGGATTGATTAATTACATAAGTTATTCATTAATTAGTGAAGTTAATATGCTAGTTGTTGTAATAACAAAGCTTAGTTATTTACAGGTACACGATGGAGAGGCCACGTTTTAGTGATCATTTAGAGGCAATCAAGTTCATCTGCAAGGATTTTTGGTCTGAGCTTTTTAAGAAGCAGATAGACAACTTGAAGACAAATCATAGAGTATGTTTAGTAAATGAAACTGACCGGAAACTGGTTTCGATGATGAAGTTTTATGAACTGGTTTAAATTTGTCTTGTAGGGTACCTTTGTATTGCAAGATAATCGTTTCCGTTGGCTTACACGAATGTCAATTGATCAATCACCTGAAAATGGAACATCCGGAGAGCCTTCCATCATAGCTGATGAAAAGGCTTTAGAAAGCATGCATCTATATTTTCCATGTGGAATCATCAGGGGAGCTCTTTCAAACCTGGGAATACCTTGTGCAGTTTCCGCCGACATATCCAACCTTCCTGCATGTGAGTAACCTGTTTGATGAATGCTATGTATTTTTTTATATTGTAAACATTTACTTTTTTTTAATAGTCTATAAGGTAGTATCTGTTCAGAATTTTTTTTAGCCATTGACAATGCACACACCCTGCAGACTTAGTTGCTCAACCTAAGACCTCTATTGAGAACAACATTGCCTTTACTTGTTTCTAGATACCCTTAGTCTGTTAAGGATAACATAACAAACCATTTTAGGATCTTAGCCCATATCTTTTAAGCTAAGTTACTCTGACACCCAAAACTCATTCAAATACATGAGAATAAAATTCAACGTACTTGTATCAGACACACACCCATATTTGACACTTTATCTAAATCTAAGTAAATAGATGTTATATTGTAGAAATTTGAAAAAGGGTTGATGTATGGTGTTAGATATAACGTTATGCACTTCATTTGATGGTGCTTTTTCGACTTTCCACCCTTGTCTGTTGATACTTAATCGATAATGATAACATGTTTCCAGAAGAAACTTAAACATAATGTCAGATATTTGAACAGATTTAACCGGTCCATTTTATTTTAGTTTCAATTCATGTGACATATAAGCTTGTTGAGACCTCTAATCTTCCTTCAGGTTCATTTGTGGTCCGGATAAAGGCTTGAAGAGTGCGTTAAATGAAATGTGATGCCGTTGTTCGTTTCTGCATGATAACTGAACTACTACGGTCCGGTTCAGAATATCAGAAGTTATTGATACTTTTGAAGAATATTATGTGTGAAAAAGACACTTGGAATGTTCGTATATGGATGTTGTTGATGACATTGCTTTATTGCATTCTTTTCTGTGTATTTAACTGGGACTATGATCAAATATTCTCATGTCCTGTCCAAAGTTGATTCTAAATGTCTCAAATGATTTTTTTTCTTATATTTAAGAAGTTTATTTGCATGAATCCATTAAGCGACGTTAAGGGTAAAAATGAGCGTTGTTCTCATGGTTAGGATCTACCGAAGAGCGATATGGAGACTCTCACCTTAAGAACATAATAACAAAAAGTGAGTCTAAAACCTTATAATTTACTTAACATAATTAAGAATTTTAGTAATAAATTGTGGAAAATATGGCTTTTGGGTCAGAATTTGACAAAATGGATTGTGGAAACGGACTCAGAACGTCGAAAAACATAAAAGTAGGGGTCTTTGTATAAAAAAGTCAATAGTTAACTGGTCCAGTCCTATCAACGGTTTGGTTTGATTAATGGGTCAGGTTAAACCGATTTAGGGTTAAACCAATTCAGTCAAATCAATTCAGTGTTTGAACCGCAAGGACGAAGCCCATGGTGGCACATGAGGCTCCTCCGGTGGCCAAAAAATTATGAAAAAAATGTAGAATATTATTTTAGACTACGGGGAATCATTTACATGTTTTAGTTTTTCGAACAGATCGACGAAGATTGGGTTTTAAAGAAATCCGAATATTCAAACCTTTACCTGTTGCAAAAGACGATGACGAATAACAATCTAAGAACACCAAATGAACGGGATCAACGAGACGAATGCAATGACGCCGGATATGAGAATCACGATGGTCTAGACAATGACGAATTGATAAAAGACCGAATTTGAAACCAAAATTGTGGGGGATAGAAAGAGAGTGACTGCGGCGGGAATGGGAAAAATGCGAAAAGGAAGGGGAATGGGTTTCAAGATATCCTAATAAAACTTCCGATTTAGTCCTAAAATCTAGATATGACATATCGTTTATTAAAGTCATCATACTCTTTTTTTTTAGTATTTCAACCTCTAAAGTTTTATTTTAGGATATAAAAACCCTAACGTTCAATCGAATAATCACTTCAACTCTAATTGTTGTTGCAAGCTCGTAAATCAATCCATTTGAAAATGGAAATATTGTAATTTATTCCCGCCCATGCATGTATCAATTCGACATTCATAAATCAATAAAGTTAGTCAGGATTGTAAACAAATATAAGTTAGACGAATTATTTTTTGTATATTTTTATTTAAATTTGTTAATAAAATTAAATAAATGAGTATATACAAAAAAAATTATTATTTATTAATTAAATAAATGAGTTTGACAAACAATCAGTTAGTCTAGTAGGATGAGACACTAGATCCCTTAAGTAAGGTCAGGGGTTCGAATCATGATGTTTGAAAATAGAGCAAATTAGGTTGGGAGGGTTGTCATTCTTTATGTAGTACATGATGTGGATTAGTCAATTAATAAATCGAAAACTAGTGATTATACCAAAAACAAATGGATTTGAATACTCGAATTATTTATATTCACAAACAAATTTATTTATAAATCTATTTATTTAATTGATGTTTTTCTTCCAAAAGATACCCAAAATAGGTTAAAATACCTTGAATCAAAGGAGAAGAAACTCGTGAAATGGTATAAATAATTTAAAGAGAAGAGTCTTGCTATTTTGATTAAAAATTAAAACGATAGGTCGAAATATTTTAAAAGGGAAAATAGAAGACAAAATGATATTTTTCACAAACGTTAAAGAAATTTTATTATTATATCTAAAATTTATTTGTCTCATGTTCATATCTCAATAATGATTTTCATTTTTTATATAAAATATAAATAATATTGTAATAATATTTAGAGTTAATTGCATCATATGTCCCTAAACCATAACTCTCACTTATATTGATCCTTAAACTTTTGAATATTCTAATGCCATCCCTAAATTGTGACTCTCATTTTAAATTAGTCCTTAAAATTTTGAACATTCTAATTTCATCCATAAACTATGACCCTCTTTCTAAATCAGTCCCCAAACTTTTGAATATTTCATTTTCATCCCCAGAGTCATCTTAATATGTAATTTGTTTCAACCATAGTTTAACCTAAGTTTTGTTTTCTTTCAAACATATAATCATATAATTTGGTCTATCGATTTTATTAACAAGAGATGTGATTAATTTATTCATATAGTTTGGGATGAAATTGAAATGTACAAAAAAACTTGCAGACCAATTTAGAATGAACGTTATAGTTTTGGATAAAACATTATAAGCCTTTTTTAGACTTTTTTACATTATATTCTTTTCATTGATAAATACAAAAGTTGTAGACAACTAATCACTTTTGTTTTTCTTTTTAAATCCAATACAAAGGTGTTCCTTTCAAAAAGGGACTAGATTTGAAGACCTAAAAACGCTAAGAAAATCGTCGCTAATTGCTTTAGGCATAATGTTAAAAATAACCCTCAATATTATTAGAATAGTTATTTTAACTTATATTCTTTCTTTTAGCATTTTTTTTCAACATTTTATTTTGAGGTAAAATGCTCATGCTATAGATAATAACTATTAGATAACACACGATTAAAACTTTAAATTAGGAGCTATTTTTAATCTAAAATTAATCGTTGATAGCTAAAATATTCTCAAAAAAATGATAAAATAATAATTTTATCGAGTCAGTATTTTTTTTTTACACTCTTTTACATTATATTTTTCATTGATAAATACAAAAGTTGTAGACAACCAGCCACTTTTGTTTTTCTTTCTAAATCCTGTACAAAAGTGTTCCTTTCAAAAAGTGACTAGATTTGAAGACCTAAACACACTAAGGAGATTGTCGTTAATTGCTTTAGGTATAATATCAAAAATAATCCCCAATATTTATTAAAATTATCATTTTGGTCCATATTCTTTTTTAAGAGCATTTTGGCCTCCAATATTTTATTTTGGGGTAAAAAGCTCACTCTATAGATAAAAACTATTAGATAACACATGATTAATGCTTTAAAATATGAGATTTTTTTAACCTAAAATGAAACTGTGATGACCAAAATGCCTTAGAAAAAAAGAATAAGGAAAAAAGTAATTGTTTTATCAAATGTTGAGGGCTTATTTCTTTAAAATGAAATGTTAGAAATTAAAATGCTTTAAAAAAATAAAATATGAGGTAAATTATCATTTTGATAAACCTTACGGATAAATTTGGCATTAGACCATTGATTTATTTCAGTAGCTTTCATGAATTGTGGGGTTGCATGACAGAAGCACTACATAGGGTACCCCTTTTTTCAACGCGTATATCTTCACTCGAGGCAGTTCTTTTTTCTTTTCTGAGAGCAATTTTCACTACCAAATCTCAAAACATTACCCACATAGGTGTTTCAGAGGGAAAAAGAGAATGGCATTAAGCAACAATGTCATCGGCGCAATCAACTTCATTGCTGTGCTGCTCTCGATTCCGAGCATCGGTGCTGGAATCTGGCTTGCAAATCAACCAGACAACTCATGTGTCAAGATTTTACAGTGGCCTGTCATAGTTTTGGGGGTCTTAATCTTGGCTGTAGCTCTTGCAGGCTTCATTGGAGGGTTCTGGCGCATTCCTTGGCTCCTTATTGCTTACCTTGTCGGCATGTTGATCCTCATCATCTTGCTTGCATGCTTGGTTGTTTTCGTCTACATGGTCACCGTGAGAGGCTCCGGCCACCTCGAGCCGAGTCGGGCGTACTTGGAATATCATCTGGAAGATTTCTCCGGTTGGCTTCAACGGAGAGTTAGAAGTTCTTACAAGTGGGAAAGGATTAAACTGTGTCTCAGCTCAACAGATATGTGTTCCCAGCTGAACCAAAGCTATGCTATGGCTATAGATTTCTTTAACTCTCATTTAACACCCATAGAGGTAAATCTCACTTCATCTGCTCAAGTTTCAGATTATTCCATTAATATGAATCTTACTGCTTTGTTAAAACAAATACTTACATATAGGGGTTTAATGAAGTATGTTAAAGCATAAATCCTAGTTCCCTAAGCATAAAAATTAGGTAAACTATACCCATCACCATTCGAGTTCTATTTTGAACGTATAATTATCATTTAATTATTTAATTATTATAAATCAAGTCACCAGTACCACCGTTAACTATTTAAGCATGTGATTCCCTTGTCAAGACTCAAGTTCGATTCCCCTAAATTACTTCTTTTTTCAGTTTGTTTTCCTTGAGTGGTGGAACACAGTGAGAAATAGTGGGGGCTACGGTCCCTCAAAAAATTTAAAAATTATAATTTAGACTTTTAAAAATTCAAAAATAAATTAATTTGTCCCACAATTTTAAAAAAAAAAATCAGATTAAGCTTTAAAACTTTTGAATGTTCTTAATTAAACCCTTCCCATAATTTTTAATAATTCTTATTAAGTCTCTAAAATTTTCAAAAATTTTAGTTAGACCCTAATTCTTTTTAAAAAAAATGTAAATTAAACCCTTCAATTTTTTTTTGAATATTTCAATTTAAACCTCTAAACTTTTTAAAGTATTAAATTGTCCTCCAAACTTTATCCTAAGGTTCCACTATTTTCCTACCATCGGATTGTGACACATGTCACCATCTAATTAAAAGAAAAATTATTAAATTAAAAATAATTAAAATTTAAGAAAATGTCTTTCAGTCATTTTGTGACACGTGTCATGAAAAATGTCACTATCTGAATGGAGAAAAAAATATAAAATTAAATATAATTAAAATTAAGAAAAAGTCTTCCAATCATGTCATAACATGTGTCACCATATGAATGGAAGATTAAATTTATTGAATTGATTTAAAATTATGACTGTATAAGTAATGAAGACTAAATATGTAATTATATCAATTTTGTTAATTGTTACGTCAGTTATTCTGTCTAACCTTAACGTAAGGTGACTTGATTAATAACACCTAAATAATTCAGTGCGTCTATTTGACAAAATTAAAAGATATGTAGTCAAAATAGAATCCGCTCATAGTTAATCATGAGTGTAGTTCACCCAAATGATTAG